GATCATCGAGTCCAACTCCTGGACCTGCTCAGGACCACCCCAAGAATTACATCATTTTGATTCTAAAGCTGCTTTTTGATAAATTTTTTAAAAATGTATATAGAATCATAAAATCCCAGAATGGTTTGTGTTGGAAGGGACATTAAAGCTCATCTCATTCCACCCCTTGCCATGGGCAGGGACACCTTCCACTATCCCAGGTTGCTCCAAGCCCCATCCAACCTGGCCTTGGACACTTCCAGGGATCCAGGGACAGCCACAGCTTCTCTGGACACCCTGTGCCAGGGACTCCCCACCCTCACAGACAAGAATTTCTTCTGTATATCAGACCTAAATTTCCCCTCTTTCAGTTAAACCCATTACTCCTTGTCCTATCACTGAATTCCCTGATGAAGACAGAGATGGAAAAATCGTATGTGTTGCCTTAAAGCTTTTTTGTTCTGCTTGTTCTGTTTTGATTTTTGGTCCCTTTAAAAATATTTTGTTTTATTAATGTGGAGGCTTGAGGAAATAAGTCGTCCCCCCCCCCAGTTATTAAATAAAATCAACATTTTTAGATGTGGAAAACTCTAAATTCACAAAAGGAAATTTCCACGATTTTCTGAGTTACTGCGTTCTCCCCAGCACTCCTTTCCACTGGAAAAAAAAATAAAAATAGGTTGGGAGAACTACTCTGAGTGGCTTTTCTCATTTGTTTTTTCTTGTGAAGATAATTTTTAAAAACATTAACCAGAAACGAAACACATTAGCATGACGTACGCACTCAACTCAGCCGCCTTTGTTTGTGAAAATAAAATTACTTTTAAACAATTGAAGGTTCCACCAGCTGTGAAATGGGAACCAGCAGCTCTCTGTATCCAACAACATTTGTCTGCAGGATTATTTTGGGTTTTGTAAAGCTGGCCCAAAGGATGGTGGCGTCGGGTGCCGAAGGTGTCAGAGGCAACTGGGAGAGCGGGACTGGTGGGTTTTGTAGGGACTGGTGGGTTTTGTAGGGACTGGTGGGTTTTGCAGGGACTGTGAATCCCCAGAGCTGTTCTAAGCCCTCTGTGTGTGGGTGGAAGCGAGTGACCTTTGTGGAAGGCTTGACTCAGGGTGGGCTGTGTTGTTCCCCTCTCTGAGCTGCTTTTGCAGGGCTCAGTCTCCGACGTGTGCGTGGGGACAAAGCTGAGCCCGTGCAGGGCTGCACAGAGGTGTTTCCAGGCTCAAGAGGGTGCAGAAAGGGCTGCAGTGTCCCCACGGGGGTGCACAGGTCAAGTCGTGGTCCCCACTCCTCTCAAACCCTGCCAGAGGAGCTGGGTTGGACCCAAGCCCCTGGTGGGACTTGCTGAGGTTGATGTTCCTCCAGGCCTTTCCCATTCTGCCCCACCAGTGCCACCAGTAGCTAAAAGAAGGTTCTTGACCCAGTGAGAGAAGCAGGACACAGTGATGAGGTGGATGATTATGATTTATAGCTAGTAAAATAGATATTACCAGTAAATATCTTAATAACAGCTCCATCATTCATTGCAATGGTTATAGTGTTGTAGTTTCTCCTGTTGAGTCATGAGACCTCCTCGCTTTCTAAACTGCTCAAAGAAAATCTAAGTGTGGCTCACTCCACTTAGTCTCAGATTTGGTCAACAGCCTATGATTAAAGCATTACAGTGTAAGCAAGTTCAGCTAGAAATGTACAGATTTTCAGTTTTTGGCCCTGCAGAATTCACAATTGCAAAGCACCTATGGAGCTACTTTAGGATTTATCTCTGTATTTTTGACCAGAAGTGAGAGCTTTTACTCACCCACCCAAAAGCGAGTGTTCCCCATCTTTGGGCTGGATGTCTGGGTGAGAACTCAACCAGAAGCTGCCTTCCACCTTGGAAGATCAGTTGGTCTAGTGGGTCCAATTTCCAACAGCATTTCGTACCCTTTTGCAGGCCTCCAAATAATAGCAAACATTTAGAAGTAGTAGTAATAATAATTTGCTTATTTATTTATTATGTCTTCCAAATAATCATGTGAGCACCTGCTGTTCCTATGATTGAACAAATCACATTGCCCAGAGCGGAAGGGGAGAGGGAGGATGTGTGTGGGAGGATATATTTGATGCCCCAAATATCTTTCGTTGCCATCACGCATTGAGAGCAACTGAAAACCCCAAAAGAAGCATCCATGATCCTGTAGATGGTTTGCCAATCCTCTCATAAGACCATCCTTGTGACACGACTGGCAGTCACAGCAAACTGCCCACTCATGCTGTGTCTCACATTCCCTCTATCTGCCAAAAACGTGGCAGTTGCGTGAATTATCTCTCATATATCAAAGTATATCAAAGATCCCAAGATTTTCCAGTGAGACCATAACAAGGACAACAAATCGATGTCAAATATGTAGGTGGATTTTCTGTCTTTCACAGTTGGTAATGAGTGATAGCTAAAACTTATCCATCATCCAGCCTTGACTTAAAATGATACCTTGCTGTTCCCTGCATAAAAAGAAAATTCCAGCCACTCTTGTGGCAAAAAAACCATTATCCAGAATCTGAAATCCTGGCACAAAGTTGTGAGTGGAAGAGCAGGAAAAGTTCCCCTAATAAATCTCAAGTGCCACTGCAGCACCAGATCTGTTAAGCAGAGCAAGCTCTGGGTGCAACCTGGAGGCTGCCAAATGAAAATGAAATTTCTGCAGGAACTGCTCTGCTTGATTTAATAGGTGAAACTCTCCCTCTGACCATGCTGTCAGTGCCTGGAGCAGAGCTGAGGCCTGGGGACAGATGGATGGGCCATCTGTAAACCCAGGTCAAAGGAAATCTCTGAGATGAAAGAGTTTTGAATGGGGGGAAAGTGAGTATCAGGCTATCCTGAAATGTTTCACCAATTCCTTCTATTTTGCACACCTTGTCAGTGATAATAAAAATAAAGCAGAAGGGAGAAGACATTAAAAAAAAAGAAACCACCTTAAAATATTGTGATGACTCCATTAGAAACCCAGTTTCAGAGTCCCAGATTTGGAAATATTAGATCCCTGCTAGAAAGCAAAAAAAAAAAAAAAAAGTTCCTTTTACTGGAATATTTTTGCCTGTGAGTCTGGCTTGCTGGGAGCTTTTCTGAACACACTGGTTGGAGTCTGACTACCAAGACACAGTGCCAGACTGACATTTGGGGGGTGTCCCTGGACCTGAGGTCCCTGATCCTCCATTTTCATTGCAGACCTTGAGGTGTTTTGGCAAGAACAGGAGTCACTGTGTCTCTGCACAGATATGAGTATTCAGGGTTTGAATTTTGGAGGTTTTTGGGCATGTAGCCCACACCTTCCAAAGCCTTTGGTTCCAAGCAGGAGTGGGGCAGCCTTTGGCACTGGATGCTGCACTTCAGCAATGCTGGCTTCATCTGCTCCTTCATTTTTGAGGCTCCAAGCAGAGTCTGGCCATTTTAGCAGCCCAGACCCATTATTATCCTTGAATTCCTGACCAGAGCTGAAATTACGTTTCTAGGATGAAAGTCAAACAGTCCTCAAGGCCAAGTTTGGAAACCTTAATGCAGACCAGATGATGATCCATGGAAAGTGTTTGATCCGTTTCTGTCTAGGGGTCCTTGAGGTGTCCAGGAGGTCTGAGACATCCATAGGGATGTAGGGAAACCTAATCCACGATTTCTGGGAGAACCACACCTTGTGAGGACCCAGAGCACATCAAAAAGTATGTTTTGGTTTTAGTTTGAAACCAGGTGGAAACACTAATGTAGTGGTTTTCGTTTACTAATTCAAAATGTTCCTATTGTGAGATAGGATTAGGAGGAAGGTAAACCAGGTTTAACTTTAAATGGTACAAAGAGAAACCTTATTACTAGAAATTATAAGAAAAAAAACCCCTCAGAATAAAACTTTAGACCACTTTTCCTATCTCTACATACTTCTTTTCTTTCACACTGAAAACGTACAAAACAACTCAGCTTACTATCTCTAGAATAGTCTTTCACTAATTTACTTGGAAGAGGAGACTTCCTTTTTTTCGTTTATGCAGTTTTCTCTACTAGAAACAGTTTTCTCGTGGTCTTGATGTCACAGTGAGAAGTCGCCCGGTAGAATGGAATTCTGATCACTATGTAAAAATCTCTTTCTTCAACAGTTTTCCCCATAACTATTATTGAGGACAACACGATGTATTGTCAATACACAATTGCAATATGTAACGATGTGTCAATCTTAAAACTCCATCACTGATTAGTCCTTGTCAAGTACAAAAAAGACAGGTAAAAATTCCAGAAAACCTTTACAAACGGCCGCGTTGTACCAGAGTATTGCAGAGGGATGGGACAAACCCTCAGCCCACACTTTGCAGGCAGGATGGATGCAAGCTGCACCACATTCCTTGAACTTCTTACACTATTCCAAAGGGCCAAAGAGGTCCTGTGGCCTCCTGGACAAACCAAGTGTGAGTCTGGAAAATGAGGACAGCGGGAGCGTTTCTGTGCACGGCGCGGCCACATCCGCGCTGCCCTGGCTGCGTGGGAGGGACACGAGCTGCACAAAGCTCTCAGCAGCCTGAGGTGACACCTTCTTGGGCCACCGTGTGACCCTCCTGAAGCCCTGGTGCAGCTGAACAGCTCAGCACAGGGCTGTTGATAAATCCATCTTCTTCCCTCCGGCATCACCCGGCTCTGGAGCAAGTTCAGTATCAGGTGGGGACGTCTGAGTTGGAGAGGGGACATATCCAAAGCAGTCATTTGAGCCTCCTTTTTTTTGTTTTTTCTGGTGACTTACTGTGTCTGTCTGAACCTCATTTGGAAAGTGTGAAACACCAGAGTCATGTGGGAACAGAAACCATGGGGTTCACAAGGTCCAAGGTAGCAGGAGGACTGCAGACAGGATGGCTTTCGACTCCTCTCTTCACTTCCCATCGTTCTGCATTCTGACCTTCTCCAGCTCATTCTTCATGAATGCAAAGGCTGTTTTGTCCCTCAGTGCCTGCACCTTTCCCCAAGAGCAGTCTCATTAAAAACAATTTTTGCTCTTCCTTCCAGGATGGGGTTGTTTGGCAGCAAAAATCAGCTGATGCCCAATGAGAAACACACTTCTGGAGGCAACCCAAAAATCAGGGGAAAACCTCCTCCTGCCCCACCCAAGGTAAGCCTGCAGTTTTGTGTCCTTTTGGGATCCCCTCCATAGCTCAGTTGGTGTCTGGAGTGATGCAGGCAATATTTAGAATCACAGAATCACAGAATTATTTGGGTTGGAAAGAACCTGAAAGCCCGTCCAGCTACACCCTCTTCCATGGGCAGGGGCACCTTCCACTATCCCAGGTTGCTCCAAGCCCTGTCCAGCCTGGCCTGGGACGTTCCCAGGGATCCAGGGGACATTTCCATAGCTTCTCTGGGGAACCTGATCCTCCCAGCTGATCCCTTTTGGGCAGGGGTGGGAAGGGCTCCGAGGAACCTTTCAACTATATTTAAAACCTCTAAAATACTGTATATTGGTACTTTGAAATATCTTCTCATCAGCACTTTGAAACCCAAGCTGATGTTGCTGACTTGCAAGATGGGTCAGATTCAGGCTAAGATTCAGAGTTGCAAACCACAATGGAAACTTCACCACTGTGAGTCCTCAGCGGGTTCAGTGAAGAGGGTCTGCAGCCAGTCTGCCTTGGGGTGAGCTGAAAATCAGAAATTCTGGGCATCTGCTGCTGCCTTTGCATTCCCTCATCCTCTGCTGGCATGGACACAGAGCAGGAAGGAACTGGGGAAGGATTTAGGAGACCTCAAATGATAAATTTCTTGTTTAAGCTTTGTAAGTCACTTCATCTCTGTTGCTGTCCAAAGGACATGAAGTTGTTTTGTCTTTCCTTGCCCCTGCCAGCAGCCAGCACAAGAGAAACTCGAGGTGCAACTCATGTGAAAACCATCTCGAGCCCTGGCAGAGGGGAGGAATTGCCAATCATTGCTTTTTTATGACAGCTGGAGATGTTTTTCACTCCTTTGCTTCCGTTTCTGAGCTCTCCCATGGCTATTCAGTCCAGTTTTCATGACAGCAGATGTCAGATTGACCAAGAAGATGTTATTTTCCTAAATTTCATTCTCTCCAGCTCACTGGAGAGGAGCCACTATCAGTATAAATACAGTATCACTGACCACCTTCTGCCATTCGTTATTTGTTGCCACAGGCAGCACTCAGCTCTCACATGTCAGGGGAAATTCAAATTTCTTCCACTTAAATGAGAAATGGCAGCAGATGAGCAGCTCTCCCACCCCTCACTGCTGCTAAGTTGGGGTCACAGAGTGGTGCAGGCAGAAAACACGAGGTGTTTTTAGTTCTGTGTCTGTATTTCACCACTTTTGCATGTGTATAAAAACACGTGGTGTGGTCAGACACCCACCATAGGCACTGTAAGGTGGGTGAAGGACACTTTCAAACTGTTATCCCCCAAAACAAGGTGGTTCCGTTCCAGCTCATTTGGAATTGTCATCTATGGAAAATTTGCCAAATTTGCCAAGGGCCAAACCAAACCAGGGGCAAAGTCAACATTTTAAAATCGTGCCCAGATGAGTTGCAGTAACTTATTGCTGTTTCATTTCACAGTCTACAATTTCCTCCTGAGGGACAGTGGAGGGGGAGCTGCAATCCCTGCTCTCTGTGACCAGTGACAGGAGCCAAGGGAACAGCTGGAGCTGTGTCAGAGGAGATTCAGTCTGGATATTGGGAAAAGGTTCTTCCCCCAGAGAGGGGCACTGGAACAGCTCCCCAGGGAATGGTGACATTCCCAAAGCTGCCAGAGCTCCAGGAGTGTTTGGACAATGCTCTCAGGGATGCACAGGGTGGGATTGTTGGGGTGTCTGTGCAGAGCCCAGAGCTGGATCAATGATCCTTGTGGGCCCTTTCATCTCAGGAATCACAGAATCACTGAATCATAAAATATCCTGAGTGAATACCCATCGAATATTCTGTGATTTCTACAGTCCTCTGATTAACCTGCTGTTACAGCCACTGCCTCTGGTTTTTGAATGCAATCTTGAGCAAAGATTACACCCATGATCCTTGGGACAATTATGGCAGACAATATCTCTGGTTTTCTGCTTCCAACAATTCTGCAATTGCCATTTCTCAGTCGGACCGTTCCTATCTCATCCCCCACTGACCCAAAATCTGGCATTAGTGAGCAGGGGTTGGATAGAGCAGGCTCCAAACGAGTGGGCAGCAGATTTCTGCTTTAACTCAGAGGGAAGCCAAGGGCTATTCCAGCTCTGAACACCTCATGGCAAAATGTGCTCAAGCCATCACAAGGAGGGGAGCCAGGCACAGGGCTGCTGGCTGGCTGCAGTGGTCTCTGGACCAGACTCTCACTCGTCTGTGGAGCTGAAATCAGTTCTTCCTGAAACGCAGCAAAGTGATAAATATCTCCTTTTTCCTTTCTATTTCTATCGCAGGGGAGACAAGTTATCAACAGCTCTCATCTAAACCAAGCCTCTGCACAAGGTAAGGTTCTGTTTTCTTTGCCTGCCTGTGGGGTTTTGCAGGGTGGTGGTCCCCAAATGTCAGGGTTTGAGGACGAGCCATGGCGTCACAGGCGTGTGGTTTCTGTGTTTGCAGCCGTGCCAGGCAGGGAGTTTATCAGAGTGGCTCAGGAAACTCACTTTACACCACCAAATCCTTGCAGCTGCCAATTTTCATCAAAGAAAACCAGAGGGAAAAGCATTCCCTCGCCTTTGGAACCAGGTGATCCTTAAGGTCTCTTCCATGATTCCGTGGTTGGAGGAGCAAAGGGGGATCTGAGCCCGGAGCTGTGTGAGATTTCTCTGCCTTGTCTGCAGCGTGACAAGTCACGGATGCTTTATCCTGCCAGCTGAAAATTTCAGAGGAAATAGCAGGCATCAGAGAGGCTACAAAGAGAAGGAGAAGAAAGGAAAGAACATAAAATAAGGATGCACAGAGATGGGCTGCTGGCTTCACCCACCTCTGCGATTATCTGTGGGTCACAGATGGTGTTTGGAGATTATTTTCTTTTAGCAGGGAGCCCTCAGCTCCCTCTGCCCAGCCTCCAACAGCAGCTCATGTGTGTTTCTGTCAAAGAAGTTCTGCAGATTAAGGACAGAGAGAGAGATAATTAGTGGGGGGGAATAGAGGGAGCTTGGAAGAGGGCAGCTAGCAACACATGAAAGTTCTTCAGGTGGATGAAAGGGGAGATGGTGTAAGGGAAGAGAAAAGGGGGTGGTGAATAAATGGGATGGGTGGAATGGCAGTGTTAGGTGTTCTTAGGTCTTATGGATGCTGATGGAGGGTCCTACCGTGGGCCAAGCAGAGGAAATTCTGCAACATCAAAATAGTCTTCAAATTTGGCTTTTGTTTTGGAGATCAAATTTGTGGGAGGTGAAAATCCTCAACCACGTGAGCTGGGGTGTGTTTTCATGGAAACACCATTTTTTTCGAGAAACTACATTTTTTTTTTGCAGAATTGTTTTCATGGCACATTTCCAAGTGTCTGTGCTCTCCTACCTCCCCAGCTGAGCAGGGATTGGCAGTTTTTCACAGGATTTTTATCACAGAGTTTTTATCACACGGTTTTTTATCACAGGATTTTTATCACAGGGTTTTTTCCACTCTGGTCAGAGTCATAGCAGAAATTGTGATCAGAGAGGCGGATTTTACTTCTCCTTCATGCCCAAAGGCAGAAGTTGAAAGATGCTAAAAAATGGATTAAGTACAATATTAGCCATTTTCAACTCTCAAAACTAATTTTGTTCACGAGATTCAGTTCCAGTTCTGGAGGAATATTCACACTGACAGTCTGGAAAACTTCCTATTTTTCTCTGCCAGTGTCTGAGTTTACCTGAAATGATGGTACATCTGACTGTGCCCTGGATGGCAAAATGGGCTGATAAGAACCAAGATATTTGAGATACCAGAGATCTTCTCCTAAGCGACAGCAATTCATATAAATTGAAAGAGAAAGCACAAAATCCAGGCAATCACATAATATAAAAAAAATAAATTCAGAGAGATTAATTAAATCCTGTGGGAGCACTTTAAATTCAATCAGGAAAAATTATTGGCTATTGGAAACGTGGCATACAATGTAAAATCAACCCTTTATTTTCCTTGGGTTTTTAAAAATTTTTGTGAGTTTTTTTTTTTTTTCTCTCTTTGTGTTTTGATTTTTTTTTTTTTTTTTCTGATCTCGAGTTGTTGAAATTGTCTCATGCTTTCTAGCTTTCACACCCCAGTCTCAGAATTCATTTATTTATTTATTTATTTTAAACAAAAACCTAACTCCTCCTGACGTTATTTATCCTCATGGAAGTAACACAGAGGCGGGCAAGGGGTGCAGACCTCTGGATTCAAAGTGGTGCATGTGGCATCACCAATCCTCTTTTCACTTGGGGTGATTCTTCCACGATGTGAGCTTCTCATTCATTTTAATACCATTCCCTAAGCAATCACAAAGTTTTTAAGGCTGGTTTTAAGTCTCCGTGGAGTCAAAATTTTAATTCTGAACCTCCAAAGCCACCAGCACTGCAAAGTCCTGGCCTGTGGTGGACCCCAAACCCAAAGTCCCATGGCTGAGCTGCTGTTTGCTTGCTTTGGATGGGTAAAACATAGAAAATAGGTAAAATAACCCCTGCCCTTGCCCTGTCAGCTGCTCACAGCTGGATTTAAATCCCAGTGATGGCAAGAGCTGGTGCTTTGGGGAGCCTGTCCTCAGGCATTTTAATAACCTGTAACAGCACAAGGAGTCAAACTCTCTGAGAGGTCATTTCTTCTGGTGAGGAACCACAACTTCTTCCACCTCTTCGTTTTCTTGCTGCTGACCAAAATATGAACAGGACTGAGTTTCAGGGTGTGGAAGCTCAGCATGCTCTGGAACTTGAGGTCTTTTGCAGAATCTCAAAGTTAATGCTGAAATTCTCGGTCATTTTTATTGTTACTTGAATGTGGCTTTGTGTTTGAAAGGAATGCTGTTAGAAAAGTGAGTTTGAGCTGAAGTGGGAAAAGGAAGGGGTGTTTCTACTGAAAAGGCTGAGTTTTCAGTGAGAAATTAAAACTTCTCATCCAAAATTTTTACCTTGATCTGGAGCACATCTGAGGAGGAGACGCTGAGGGAGCTGGGAAAGGGGCTCAGCCTGGAGCAAAGGAGGCTCAGGGGGGACCTTGTGGCTCTGCACAACTCCCTGAAAACAGATTGTAGCCAGGGAGGGGTTGGGCTCTTCTCCCTGGTAAAAAGTGAAAGGACAAGAGGAGATAGCTTTAAGTTGCACCAGGGGAGGGTTAAATTTGATATTAGGGAAAAAAAAAATCATGAAAACTGTTACCAATCTTCAGATCAGGCTGCCCAGGCAATGGAATCACCATTCCTGGAGGGATTTAAAAGCCAGGGGAATGTGGCACTTGGGGGACATGGTTTAGGGGTTACCTTGGCAGTGCTGGGTTAATGGTTGGACTTGATGATCTTAGAGGCCTTTCCCAAGTTTAGGAACCAGTGATTCCAACCAGCCCATGCCAGACTGAAACAGGAAGCTGAGCCCATTTCCAGCAGCAGTAACCCATAGCTCAGAGTCCTGCAAGTTGTCACTGACCCCCTGACCATCCCAAAAGGGCTCTAAACCAATGGGTGATCCTCTGGGACAGGATCAGCCTGGCTTTGTGGCCATGAGCTGCTTGCAAACACCTTCCATTCAGGACAAGCCAGCAGTGGAGGACTGGTTGAATCATTCCTATCGAGCCACCAAACTGGCACTCAGCCTCTGCAAACCCTGCTGGTGTCAGACTTTGCTGACGGCAGCTCTGAGCCAGGACGTGTTTGGCTCCCAATCAAAGTCCTGGGGCTGGCAGCTTTATGTGCAGAGCTCCTCACAGCCCTGGCCAGCCTCTGGTGGCCTGAGTGGATCAAACTGGCCAGGGCAGTGTTTTCCATGTGTTTCTCGTGGGGTGATGGATTCAAGGACAGGAAGAGCCCCTTTCATCATGAGATGGCAACTCCTGCTGGCTCGGGCAGAGAGAGCTTTTCTTCTGGCTCATTTCAGTGTGCAGTGTTCTCAGCGCCTATTTTGGGATAAGAGGTGATAAAGTATTTTTTCAGCATACAAACCCTTTTTGTCCTTGCTTTATTCCCTCTTTTTAATTTCATTTATTTTCACTTACGTCAGCCACTTCAAGATCAAAACTCCATTTCCATTTTCTGGAGTGCACAGCCACTCTGGGCTTGAAGATATTTACACGTTTGCTCCTATTTTTCCAAGCAGGAGTGTGATCACTGCATGATTTCCCTTTTCAAGAGGACCAGGAGGGTGTGTGTGGATGGTTGTGGATACACCTCACAGGAGGCACATTCACACCCTTTCATGTCTGAGCAGATGTGTGATAACAACTTTCTCAAGGAGGCAGACACACACACAGAGAGTTTGGGTGCATTGCTAATTCCAGCTGCCTCAAGGGGAAGCCCCCAACCGTGCCAGCTATTTTCAGACTTCAAAGCATTCTCCCTTGTGACTGAGCATCCTTTTCCCATCCTGGGAGAGAGGCTCTGCTGGAACCTCTCATGGATCTCCGGTTTCCTTCTCAAAAGCCTGAAGGGAGCTGCTCAGGGCTCTGCTTTCCGAAGCTGCCTTTCCTCCCACGCTGACCCTTTCTCCTCCCTAACAAATTGCCATCGGAGCAGCAGCCAGCCCTGCTCAGACACGGACCCCGAGCTGCCCCAGAGACTCGCTTATCTGGCTGTGACAAAGGGCCAGTCTGGCTCCCTTGCTGGTGGCATTATTTGAAAAGGTCACCCGAAGACAGTGGCTTGACAGGCTGTTTTGAAAAATGCTAATAATAGGCTGTCCATCGGTCTCAGTGCATTAATCAGGCTGAGCACAAGCTGAAGCCTTGCTGCAGCACAGTTCCCATTCTTTCTTTTTCTCTTTTTCTTTTAATTTTTCTTTTAATTTTTCTTTTAATTTTTCTTCTTCTTTTCATTTTCCTTTTTCACTTTTCCTTTTTTCTTTTTCTTTTTCTTTTTCTTTTTCTTTTTCTTTTTCTTTTTCTTTTTCTTTTTCTTTTTCTTTTTCTTTTTCTTTTTTTTTCTTTTTTC